TGTACCTACACGCTCTGCTTGAGACTGTGTTCCTGTCCTTGAATAAACCTTCTGCTTTGCGGGCGGGCGGGGAGGCGCAGTGAATCTCGGGAAGAGGGGTGCAGGGCCCTAACTCCCCCACAATCCGCAACAGGGTCTGAGTGTGAGATGCTGCACGCAGGCACGTAGCACCAGACGGCCCGGAAACCGGCTGGTCACGCTTGCCATAGGTTCTCGCACACCCGGTGACGTCTGCACTCCTGATTAATTCATCCGTCCCAGTCCAGCTTGGGGGTCGGAGGTTTCTCTCCGTGACTCCAGGCACCGAACCTGGCCTGGTGCCGGTTCCTAACGTCCCCCTCCAATGTGAGCTTACAGCCTGGCATAGAACTGCCCTCGCAGGCCAGGCTGGTCCCTGCATCCACCCCCGTCCCTGGGCCAGGCCCACCGCTGCCGCCAACCTCCACCCAGGGCTGGACTGGTCTCTGCGTTGGCACCTCCACGGCCGGTCTCTGTGTTACTTGTACCTGGGCCCTGCCCGTGGGCTCCGGGACGGTTTGTGAGGAGTTTCTCTTTGCGCTCTCCACTCCCTGGTTACCCTGCTCCTGCCTGGACTAGGAGCTGGCGGTAAGAAAGGTGACCCAGCATGAGTGCTCGGCCAGGGTTCATCTAGCAGAAGACGGAGCCACGGGCTGGGGGAGCCACGGGGCTTCTTCGTGGTATGAATAGTGGGCCCTTGTTCTCTGCCTTCCAGACAAGCCCACCATGGACGAGTCCAGCTGCCCCAGTACCCAGGCGTGGCTGGAGGGGACCCTGCACACCCTGGACTGTGAGGCGGACGGGATCCACGTCCCATGCACCAAGGAGGGAGCAGCCGACGAGTTTGGCGGCGAGCGGAACGTGAGCAGGAATGACTCCGGCACCTACCAGTGCACGGCCAGGAACCGCCACGGGTCGGCGACGAGGGTGGTCACCGTGCGGGTGGAATGTGAGTCTCGATTGCGCACCAGCATTGCACTAGCCTGGCTCGCCCTACGTGTGACCCGCAGGTCTGTGCTGGCGGCAGTGGGGTGGGAACGGCTCCCTGAGAATCCTCCTCCCAGACGGGGGCCGAACTGGCATAAAGGCCCTGCTCCCAGCCCCGGCATATGGCATTGGGGCAGGTCTCGGGCCTGTGCTCCGCAGGAGGTCAGACTAGGTGATCCCGTGGCCTTGGAACCTGTGAATCTGGTACTGCAGCCGTACGGTCTCTGCTGCTCCCCGGGGGCCACAGGGTGCAGAGTCTGATTCCCCCTGTGGGCTGGGCGAGAGCCCTGCCTGACCCCAGAAGACAGGCAGCACAAATGGTCCTGTTGCTATTGCCACACTATTCCGGCAGAGCCTACGGGCCCCAGCCATGGAGCAGGACCCCCCCCCACCCCGTGTGCTGGGAGCTGTACATTATTTGTTAGGTGAATTACGGTAGTGCCCAGATGCTCCAGTCTTGGCTCAGGGCCCCCCACGGCGCTAGGTGCTGTACATTATTTGTTAGGTGAATTACAGCAGTGCCCAGAGCCCCACAGCGCTAGGGGCTGCACAGACACAGAACGGAGTAACAGCCCCTGCCCCAGCGAGCTCACAGTCTGTCAGTCCCTGCTAGAAGCGCAGGAACGGAGCAGCTGGGACCCCGGCCCTGCGTGTGTAAAGTGCAGCTGATCTGATTTTGTGCTGGTCCAAGCGCAGCTGGGGGAAGCTGACACTGGACATTCCTAAACGAGCCCAGCCCCCGCGCCTGCCCTGTGTTACTGATTGCACCGGAAATGACTGACCGTGAAAGAACATTGAGTCCTATGTACTTGAGGCTGTTGGCTCCGTTTACTGGACCCCTCGTCTGCTCTTCACCTGATTTCCCTGCACCGGGCCTGGCTCGTGAACGTTAGCCGGGGGGTCCCCGGGGGGTCGTGCCGCTGGGTGCCTGGCTGCAAAGTGCTGCCCGGGGCGAGGCAGGAGGGCGAGCGCCGCCAGCCCGGGACGCTCCCAAGACGGCGCGATCGCGGCCGATTTCCCTCCCGCTCGCCCGGCGTCCGTCACACGAACTCCGCCCGGAAATGCTCAAACCCGGTGCAGCCAGAGGGAGACCCGAACGGGCCGGGGAGACGCGAGCTGGGGTCTGCGACGGAGGAACTGGGGGGCCCTGGCGCTGTGCAAATAGCCGCGGAGCTTGAAGCTGCAGCTCGGGCCGGAGCCTGCTCCCCACCGCAGCTGTCAGAGCCCCAGCCGGAGCCGCAGCGTCTACACAGCCGTTTCTGGGGCCGTAGCGCGAGCCCGTCCCTGGCACTGGGTGCTGCACGCGCCTGCCGTAAGAGACGATTTCAGCTGCCAGCCTCTGGTGCGTGTTCTGCCTCCCTCCGCGAGGTTCCGGGGCCCGTTCGCCGGGATTTCTGCCCGGGATGGCGCCTTGCACGCCGGGACCAGCTCCCCTCGCAGGGTTCTGTCTGACAGCGAAGCACGTGACGCTCCTTGCTACCAGCCAGGTGTCTTCTCCCCCCTCGAACCTGTGCGGCTCTGGCCTGCGCTGGCTCCGCTCTTCCCACTTCCCTTACGAAGCCAGAACGAGCCGCAGCGTTCCCGTCTCGGTCTAACCGGGGTAAAATCGCCTCCCGTTAGCCCCGACTGTCGCAGCATCGCTCCGGGCGCTTATTGCCAGCTGCTCAGCCAGCATTAACCCCATTTTAGGGCTGGGGAAATTGAGGCCCAGAGCAATGGGGTGACAGGCCCAAGATCACGCAGGTTGTCTGTGGCAGAGCCAGGATTTGACCCCAGGGGTCTGCCCTGCTGCTGAACACAGGGAGGCTTTACCAGAGCTCACAGATGGAGAAATCGCAGTGGAGTGGGGGGTCCAGGGCTGGCTGAGCAAAGGGAGTAGTGAGGGAGGTAGGATGGTGCAGTGGTTAGTGCACTACCCTGGGACTTGGGAGGCCTCAGTGCCATCCTTGCACGGCCTAGGGCCTCTCGTGGTGCCCCCCTGTAGAATGTGGGCGCTGCTTCCCCGCTGCACGGGACGGTGGGCGGAAAATGGGGGGGCCACAGAGGGACCCGGGGCTGCACGGCTGCTAAGTGTATGACCTTTTCTCTCCAGACAGGCCCGTTGTCTTGCTCCTGGCCATCAGCCCTTCCGCCACCGTCCCACGCGGCGCCAGCTTCAACATCAGCTGCCGCGCCGAGGGCTCCCCGGCACCCGCCTACCGCTGGACCATGCCCCCCGCCCCCAACGTCCACTGCTCGGCCGATAACAGCACCGTGAGCGTGGCCGGCGCTGACCGGCACAACCGCGGCGTTTACGTCTGCAGAGTCTCCAACGCCCACGGGCAGCACCTGGGCCAGGTCCAAATCCAGGTGACAGGTACGGAGCAGAGGGCGAGGAAGCCAGGGAAGGGCAAAGTGTGTGTGGTGGGGGGGGGGACAGACCCCCTGTGGGGTTCCTGGGCGTTCTGCAGCAGCCCTGGGGGGCCGAGGTCCCTGCCGCGCGGCGGGCGAGGAGGCGGGACTTGAGCCCAGCCTGACTCAGCGGCACCACACACCTGGGGCGTCTCCGCTCGCTTCGTAACAGAGAAGCTGCCTGGCGGCGGGGGGGGCTGGGGCTCTGTGCTGGGATCCAGCCGACCTGCCGTCTAGTCCCAGCTCCGCTCCTGGGATGCTGAGCAACCCTGGCAAGCTACAGCCCCGCTCTGTGACTCGGTTTCCCTTCCCCACCTCTGCCCGGCTGTGTGATCCTGGGCGTGTCCCTTCCCCTCTCGCTGCCTCTGTCTAGCCTGGAAGCTCTTTGGGGCAGGGACTGTCTCTCCTCCTGGAGCCTCACCCGCGTGTCCCTCCCGCCAGATCACAGATTCATCGTCGCCGCCCTGATCGCGGGGGCGGCCGTGCTGCTGCTGGGTGGGACGGCCGGGCTCGTCTATTACCTCAAATCCACCGCCTGCAAGAAGGGCGAGTACAACGTGCAGGACGCCGAGAGCTCCTCGAAGGCTGCCTGCCTCGGCCGCGACGGTGCCGTCTATGGGATACAGCTCACCCAGACCTGAGCCGGCCGGCGGCCGGAGCCACCCACACGGGGCTGCTGGAGGGGAACCCGGCGGTGCGTCCCTGGGGCTGGGGCGCCTGGTTTGGTTGGTTGGTCGTTGTTGCCTCCTCCGGCCACTTGGAAGCTCCAGCCGAGCTGTGTTCTTGGTCCAGACCCGGCCTGTCTCCGTCCAGCCACGTCCGCATGCAGCCTCTGCCCTCGGATCTGCTCCACCCTTTTTCCCTTCCCCGGCCCTGCCCCGTGGCCCTGGTGGAACTTCCGGCTTGTCGCCGATCCAGACAGCTGGTGTCTTGCCTTAAATATCCGTTCTCCGGCTTGGGGAAATGGGTCATGAGCTGGCCCCAACCAGGCCATGACTGTACTGGAGCGTGCGGGGGGGGGGAGGAAGGGGGTTGCCTAACCCAGCGCCTGGGTGGACTGGCACGGGCAGGGGAGAATGGGTACGGGACCCGCTGGGATCCGAACGTCTAGGTTCCAGATTCCAACCCGGGGGGAGGCAGGGGCCACCAAACACAGTCAGGGGCCTGTGGGGAAACGAATGTGCTGGGTCTCCGTCCCCGTGCTAGCAGGAATGGGTCAGTCTGTCCTCAGATATAAGAACAGAAGAACGGCCAGCCTGGGTCAGACCAAAGGTCCATCTAGCCCAGTGTCCTGTCCTCTGACAGTGGCCAGTGCCAGGTGCCCCAGAGGGAATGAACAGAACAGGGAATCATCAAGTGACCCATCCCCTGTCGCCCATTCCCAGCTTCTCGCAAACAGAGGTAGGGACACCATCCCTGCCCGTCCTGGCTAATAGCCATTGATGGACCTGTCCTCCATGAATGTATCTAGCTCTTTTTTGAACAGACGGAACAGCTGGGGGCCGGCGTGGGTCACGTGTCCTGCTAGGAACAGCGCCGAGACCCAGCAAACTCGTTTCATCACAGGCCACCAAGTTTATGGTCTGAGCGCCCCGTGACCCCTGTCAGTCAGCGTTTAGGTGCGGCTCCCGCTCCTGCTCCGGGATAACGACAGCCGCAGCCTGTTAAACTTCCCTTCCTGCCTCAGAGACAGCCAGGGATCCCCCCCACGTCTGCCCCCAGCTCGCAGGGGGCAGTGAATTCCTGCACTTTGCTGGCTTGCTGTTTCTGGGCCCTCGGATGGTGCAAATCCGCATCGCTCTGACTGTCGCGGGAGTCGCGTTCGCAGTGTGGTGCTGGCGGCCTGGGCCCGTCGAGCTGTTCTTTAGAGACAATGTAACACCACAGCGTGTTTTGTGTGATTGTTGTGGGGCAGAATTAAAACAGCAGCCCCCCCCCTCCCCCGCCCACATCCCCCACTTCCAAGGGCAGAATGCCACAGGAAACTTGCAGAGGCCAGGAAAAAAAACCTCCATCTGCTGGCTTTGCGCAAGCTTGTTCCAGAACAGGCGCTGTGGATGTCTCTCTCCCGGCAGTCTTAATTACCAAGCACAGACTTTGTTCTCTAGCAACTGACGAATTTAGCACATCGGTGACAGCCTCATGGCTGAGCTGCGGGGAAAAACAGCTCTTCCGTGGCACACGCCTGGCAAGCAATACACGAAGCAGGTGGGAAAGGCAGCTTGCAGGGTAGCGTGTTGCAGGATGACACGCTGCCGGCCTCGGGGGCTGTGGGACTTCATGTTGCTACACGCTCAGCGAAGAGGTGTGATAGCCAATCGGCTAGGTACTGGGACCTGCCGAGCGAGGGCCAGACCCGCCGCTGGCGCCAGCGAATGGGTTATGGTGGGATGCCCAGTCGTGGCCCAAGGCCCGATTGTGCAAGGCGCTGTACGTTATGTATTACGATCCCATCGCTCCTGGGCCAGGCCACCCTGCACTAAGCTCTGTACAGACACGGACCTGCTGCGTTAAATCATGGAGCCACGCTGCTTTACGCCAGCGGACGATCTGGCCCGTAAACGTAACCAGCCTCTCAAACGCTTGTGATTCTCTTTCACTTTCCAGGCAGGTTTTGAGACCCTCGGGGCTCCGTTTTCATCCTGTTGCGTGAGCAGAAAGTTTGAGGTTCTTTGGTTTATGTTTTGGACTGGGCAGAGCAGCTCAGAGGAGGGGCGGGGGGCGTCTAGCCTGTCCTGGCTCATCCCAACCGGGGCGTGGGATTCCCCGGAGGGGGTCAGTGATGGGCTGTTCTGCTACCGGGGTCGATGCTGGGTCCTGCTTTGGAAGTGGAAGATTTAGGGACAGGTTCAACCCAAGCGTCTCTGCTGAGGACGTTCCCGCTAGACCATTCAGCAGGGCCGGCCCCAGCCAAGCCTGGCTTTAGGGCTGCAGCCAGCCAGGCTGGTCTCTGCCAGTGGGGCTGCTGGGCTAAGGATCCTACCAGCGTAGGGCTGACCTGAGCTGGAGCGAACCCACCGCGTTCGCCAGGAGCCGTTCCAGGGAGATTTCCAGCAGCAGACCTGGCTCCGGTTCAAACCCCTCTGCGCCGGCCATGTGCTCGCAGCAGCGAGGGGAAGGAGCCTGCAGGTAGCTTGAAGCCCCCTTGGCACTCCCTGTTTTCCACCCGCCCCTGGGTGTAAGTGACGCTCTGCTTCCCACGCCCACCGGGCCCGCCGAGAATCCCTGTGGAGCCCTTGCGGCTACGGCCAGACGCTCCGTCTGTCCCCGGGCTTGAGCCCTTCTGCCATCTCTGCACCTGCCGGCCCCCCTGCCCCATGGGGATTTCTAAAGGGCTGCTTCCACCCACCGTGAGGCCCCTTTCTGCGGTGACCTGAGCATCCCAGAGACTCAGGCTGTGAGTCATCTGAGCTTCCCCTCCCCCCCGGTGGTATTCTGTAGAGGGTTGACACAGGCTTAAAGTTCCCCGTTCAACCGCAAGCTACAAGCGGAATGTACTAATGAAGGGCTTCGTTTGGGGCGGGTTTCGCTAACGAGTGTGGGCCCTTCTCTGATCGCAGCTGAACCAGTTGCAAACTTTTCCAGGGGCTCATTGCATTGGTGAAGCTCCGCTGGGTAAAAGGGCTATTTTCCAGTCGAGTTTCTCACGGCGTTTGTATGTTCTCTCTCGCTCCCCCCAGCCTGGGCTTGAGGAATGGGCCTGCGTCATTGCGAGCTGCACTATAATTAATGTTCGGGGTGGGCGGGCGGGCGGGCGGGGGCCCACGATGCACTAGGTAATGAACGAGCTCTCAGCAGTGCTGGCCTCGCAGCTTGGGAAGGGTTTTAAAACATGCTTCCCCGAGGAATAAGAAAGGACAAGTCGGTAAAGTTGGGTTTAAAAACAGCTGTGATAATAGTTCCACAATGCCACCCCCCCCACCCCCTGCTGGGCCCGAGTGCTCCCAGGCCGCAGAAATGACTCATTCTGCACGCCTACAATGTGTAGCAAAAGCCACAACGAACTCCCCTTTGCACCGCTCCACGGTGGCTGGTGTACCTGGGGGCTGGCTAGGCTGTGCTACAATGTGAGCAGGTAATTAGTCTGTTACAGAAGGTTGCAGCGTGTTTAATTGCGTTTACTAAAACAGCCCAGAGACGACAGGCAAACAGGCGCTCAGTGGGTGTCACAACAGTCGTGCGAGAGTGACAGTGAGCGATGGTCTTGCTGTTTGAGCGGTTGGATGTGGACTAGCCCTGGTCTTCGCTAGACTCCTACGCGCATGTGAGCCTGGGTTTGGCGCCAGCACTGGCCCAGTGCTCTCTCTGGGGGGAGTTTCCGAGCCAGTTCTCTAGCACATTGAACATTCGCCTCTTCCCCCCGGCCCAGCGTTTTACTGCCGAGAGCACGGGCAGCCGGTCGTCCTGCCTCGCCAGAATCGGCAGCTGGGTAACGGGTGAAATGTTGGAGCATGAGCCTTTCCCAGGCTGGAGCGGCACAGCAGTGCTGCCGGAAACCCAGCGTGTAGCCACAGCCTATGCCAACGAAAGGAACATCACCTCCCCGAGCACAGGGAGCTAGGCCGCGGGAAGCCTTCGTCCGCCCCGGAGTGCTGTCTACACCAAGGGGCAGGTTGGCAGAACTACATGTTTTATTTCACACCCCAACCGCCGTAGCTCTGGGGGCACAGCTCTGGCTGCAGCATTGTGCCATAGCAGGGACATTTCCTGCCTCCCCGGAGAGGGGGTTTCCAGCGCTGTAGTTATTCCACCTTGCCGAGGGGCCGGAGCTGGGATGAGGGAACAGTTCTTCCATCACCCCAGCTGCAGGTTGGTCACAAAACGCAACATTTTTCACAGCCCTGGGCCGTGCAGCGAGGTCGAGGTCAGCGCCTGAGGGCTCGGCTACACCCAGCCACTGCGGCGATTTAACCGTATCTGTCTCGTTAAAGCAGCACGCACTGCCTGTCCGGTAGATGCGGTTACACCCGTGTAAAGGGGTTTATCCCAGGATAGCTCTACCGAGGACAGGGACTAAGCCCGACTGGTAGAACAGGGCCAAACTCGCTGATCGAACTAACGTTGGCAAAAAAATCACACACACCCCACCTGCCGCAGTTCCTTTGCTACGGAAACTGCGCAGAGCAGCCCGTCGGAGCGCACAGCTCGTCGCCTTGCACTTCGGCTAGTGCCCTACAGCCCTGGAGAGAGCCCAGCTCCACCCGACTACCCACAAAGCACGTAGTCAAAGGGACGGAGCGTAGGCCTGGGAGTCGGGTTCCTGGGCTCTGCCACTGGCCTGCAGGATGCCCTTGCTGTGCCTCAGTTTCCCCACCTGTAAAATGAGGCTAATGCCATTGCCCTCCTGTGCAAAGCACTCTGGGGAGGAGAAGTGCTAATAGTGCTTGGCTGCGTCAGGCACGAATGGCATCTGTCGGCCTCCTGTGCTGACGGTTAAGCACAAGGGGGGGAGGGAAGGGGGAGTGGAAGTTCCCTGTAAATAGGAGGGGGAGCTACTGAGACTGGCCGGGGGCAGGCAGCCTCAGGCTGGGAAGGATCTTTCCAGTTCTTTCTACAGCTGCTCCTATGTCAGTTCCTCCGGCCCCCCACTCGCCTCGGCGCTTGCAGTGTCCTGCTTCCGGGGCCGTGTCGATCCTTCTGACCATTTGCCCGGGAAACATTCCTGCAGTTTGCTCAGGGGAGAGCCAAATAAATAAATCATTGTGTTTTAACGAGTGCCAGCTCCTGCCCCAGCATGGCCTGCACCCAAGCCAGCACATGGGCCAAAGTGGTTCCCCACCGCCTGGGCTAGAAAGCTGGAATGCCCTGGCGCCAACGCCCCTCCCCAGCCGCACCGTCTCGGAGCACCGCGGCCTGCGCTGTGTTTAATCTCACAACGCCCTGAGAAATGCAAACCCCGCTGTCGAGACGGGAAACAGGCACGGACAGACCTGGCCAAGGCGCAGAGCTCGGCGTCAGCACCAAAGCGGGGCCAATGCAAGATATTCCCTCGCCTACCTTGGCCCAGGCCACGGCCCAACAGGGAATTAAACCCAGGTCAGCAGCCAACCGCTGCACTGGGAGTTTGGGTCCACTGCTAACCGGGCTGTTTGTGTTCATCCTTTTACATGCAGATTCTTTTTGAAAGGCCTGAGCTGATGTAATCTCCTCTTTGGGAACCAGCTCCCTTGGCTGTGGGGGCCAGATTCTCAGCTGGGGTAAGGAGATGTCCCTCCAGCAAAGTCAGCAGCACAAGACCAATTGCCACCAGTGGATCCCAAATGTTAACAGCCTCCCAGCCTCGAATCCCTGCCTTGCCCAGAGACTCAATGCGAGGCCAAGCCACCGCTCACGCCCACTCACCAGCTCTGGCCCCAGCCATTGACCGGCCCCCGCACCGGGCTGTGCTCGGCCCCAAATGCACAGACCTGGGGGTCAAGTCTAAGTAGCTAAAATCGCTGCTGCCGAGTGCAGAGTGACGGGGTCGTTGTGAACTGATCTCTCACGGCTCCCAGCCATGGGACAGGAAAACAACAAGGACCCAACCTTGGGTTCAAAACCACACTGGGGTGTGTGTGTGTGTGTGACAAAAAGCCACTCCCATCCAGCAGCTGTTCAGGAAACATCATAGGCTGTGGGAAGGGACGGTGGGAAAATTTCCATCAAAAAGTTGGGGTGGGGGAGGGTTGATGTGTGGGGGCAAACGGCTTTTTGACAAAAACGCAAATCTTCACAGGAAAATGTTTTCTGTCAAAATGTCCAGGGTTTCAGTGAAAAATGGAAAACCAAAAATATTCCATTTTTTTGTTTTAACCTGATTTTTAAACAAAAAAAAAACAATTTCGCATGGGGGGGGGAAATGACCTCCCAGCCCACTCTCGGCTCAAGACAGCTGCCAGGGGGCAAGTGGCACCGTCGCTAACAGCCTCAGCAGTGGGGATGGCTGGATCCTGGCCAGGGTAAATAAATGTCGCTCCATCAACATCAGCAGCGCAAGCCCAGTTCACACAGCTGAGACTCTGACCCGTAAATGTGAAGTGTCACATTCTTTTCTACATTGTCTCCTATAAAAGTGCTTGGGGCCATGGCACCAGGACCTCTGTGCTAGGCATTCGCTGCAGAGTTTCTCAAACGAGCCAGTCTTTGCAGTCCTCTCACTTCCTTCCACTTTGCAACACTTCTTGTGAGAACGCCCAGGACTGCACCCCTCTGGGAAGCTCTCCCCTAACCCCAGCGTAGTTCTGGGCTTGCCAGTTTGGGTTTGATCTAGCTGGGTCTCGTGCGCACCCTTATCCTTCCCCCTAGCGCACGCGTGTGGGTGGAGGACTCGCTGGGAAATGTACAACGTAGACAGATTGGACCAAATTCTCTGAAGAGGCCGAAGCCTCATTTCCCAGTCCATCTGCGGCCAGATATTCCAGAGAGTTCCACTCCCATGTGCTGAGCACTTTTGGTCGCCTAACCCCTTGCTATGGTTCCTCAACGGGAGCGGAGTTCTCTTGAAAATTGAGCCCTGATCACAGACTCGTAGGACTGGAAGGGACCTCGAGAGGCATCTAGTCCAGTCCCCGGCCCTCCTAGCAGGGCTAAGGATTATCTACACCATCCCTGACAGGGGTGTGTCCAATCTGCTCTTAAAAATCTCCAAGGGCGGAGATTCCACCACCTCCCTGGGCAATTTATCCCAGATCTTAACCAATGATGGTAGGTGCTGGGCCCTTGTCAACCTGGTCCTGAGCTCTGCAAACTTTGGTCCTCAAGCCCAGATTAGCGGCGCTCCCAGGAAGCCCCAGCGATGCCGGTGCAAGGGAGAAACATGGGAAAAACCACCGTGCCCACACAGGGATGGAGCCAAAGCCAAAGGCTGCGGAATGGATGCCAAAGACATCGTGGGGATTAGAACAAGGGGAAGATTGGTGAGGCTCACGGTTATGCCGGATTGTTACGAGTTAGCTGCTAACAAGGTGTGCTCCGATACCATGACAATTGTGCCCTACAAAGGCCAACACACCGGGCATCGAACCTGGGACCGGCAGGACTAAAAGCAGGAGCGACTAGAGCTTGACCTAAAGAATCCGGGCTCCCCTAGCCCGGGGGGGACATGCGACACGCATTCGCCAGGGAGTTACAGTCAGTTTATTATACAACATCATAAATCACGAAACCCCTGGACGCTGTATCCCGCCTTGGCCTCCGTGCACTGCACGTCAGAAGCTTTTCAGTCAATTCAGCCCAGCACTTGAGCCTTCATTCAGCTTTAATTTTGACTTCAGTGGAGTTAAACCCGGTATTAAAGTCAGCCACAAGCCCCACCGCTTTGCTGAATCAGAGCCTTAATAGTTAGCAGAAGCAACAGCACCACCAAGCAGCGTAAATAAGAAACAGCATCAACAGGAATCCCAAGGCTGGATCAGACCCAAGCTCCATCTCCGACTGTGCCCAGTCCAGGTGCTGTACAGGAAGGCACAAGAACCACACCCACCCCAGGAGTAGATGTGGGATGGTGTCTACTAGTTAGATGGGCTTAAACCCTGAAGCACAAGGTTCAAAATCCCTCCCCAATTCTGTATAACTAATTAGGAGAACTCCAGCTACTCTTGCTAGCCATATAAATTTCCAATTCCCCTTTGAATCTTGCTAATTTTTTTGCCTTCCATGACTTCCAGTGGCAGTGAGTTCCACAGACTACTCACACGGTATGAAAAAGCATTTGCTTCCATCAGTTTTGAAGTGGCCATCTTTTAACTGAACATCCCCTGGCCCTTGCGTGATGAGACATGGAAGACCAGAAACTCCCGCTCTCCTTTCTCTGCCCATTCTTTATTTTATGTACCGACCTCACTTCTTCGCCTTTCCGAGGTCAACACTTCTAAGCTTCCCACTCCCTTTTCACAGGGGGGCTTTTCTGTGCAAAAGCAGGGACCAGTCCATTCTCAGGGTTTTCGTTGTTTTGAGAAGTTCATCGGCAGAATAAACCACGTCCATAGTCACTGGCCAGAGACAGGAAAATAATGCCCCTGAGATGGTTTCTCTAGTAATAACTACTGCATCCAGCCATGGAACATCTGAATTCACTGCCTCTAGGCCTCCTATTAAGGCCCCGATATGGCAAAGACCTTGACTTTAAGCACATGCTTAAGTGCTGTGTTGAGTAGAGATGGGATTGCTCATGGGTAAAGCTCTTGGAGACAGCTAGGCTCCTAAGTCACTTAGGCCTGGCTCCTCTAAGGTGTTTAAGCATCTAACACCCATTGATTTCAAGACTCTTTTTGCCGCTTGTAAACCACTGAGATAGCGCCTCAAATGGATTGACTCAGCTGTGAATAGGGGAGGCCTGGCTTTATATCTCCCGGGAGAAACCAACATGTCACATCGAAACTCAAAAGGGACGCCCGAGTAGAGTCTTTCCATACACAGCAACAAGAAGCCAGTTTTATTCTAAAGTGCAACCATTAGATTCACTCCTGAACGAAAGCCAAAAAACCCAACACCCAATCATCTTAAACCACATCTTCCCCGCATTGTCACCACGCTGGAGCGTTTGAACATTTGTACCAGAAAGGAGAAAACATGGCCATTTTCATCCAAGTTCACAACTTGGCACATAAAGTGTGTGTGTGTGTGTGTGTGTGTGTAAACAGTGCCGCACTGCAAAAATAAATATATTATTTACACATATAAATATATCAAGATAATCATTTTGTACAAGAATGCCCCATAGGTACTATTTTAAGTAACAAACTAATTGAGAATGGACATAAGTTTCTGAAATGCAGAACAAGCTAACGAAGGAGATAATCTCTCTATTCAAAAAGTGCAACCCTTACTAAGTTTAGTGCCACAAAACAAACGAGGTTCCATATTCATTATCCCCAACTAACTTGTTGTTATTTAGTTTTTTAAATTAGCAAATATAAAAGCTTTGAAGTCTGAGCCCTGCAAGTTTACAAGTCTTCGTGTCTCTCCTTGGAAAGACATCAGCACGTTAACAGGAAAGCTCTTCATTGGGGCCCATGAACGAATATTGATCTAACCCCTTAACAAAGCTTCATTTCATTCTGAGCGGGTTTTTTAAGCATTGCCAGAATCTACATGTTCGGCTCATGTCCGTAGCAGCGATTGTTGCTGCCTCAGGTGCAAGTTACTATCTGAATGGAGCTAATATGTTATTTTCTTTAACATCCGGAATGATCTCCATTTATTCTGGAGTCTGCATTTGCCCCACTGCTAGAAAGAGCCTCGCTGCAGTGATCTGTTCTACAGTCAAGACAGGTGAGGCCCCGGGCGTATCACTGCTGGCCAGGGTGTCCTGGGGTCCGAACAAGCAGCCCCCCACACTCACACCTGCCAGGTGAGCCAGGAGCAAGCTTAAGAGTCAAACTCTTATTTTCCCACCCCTCATTCAAGCTCTGTAACAACATCACCTGTGCAAAAACCTGGGTTCATTTTCTCGTCCACTTCCCGAGTCGCTCGCGCAAACAAAGGCAGGATCGAACATTCGTTTTACAGAACACAGCAGCCCGAGAGGCAGGGGAAAAGCAACAACTGGTCCTAAAGGCAACTGGACTGAGCCAACGCGTCTCGCATCCCTCCGCTCAGACTGCAGGGCCGTGCTGGTCTCCTGCTCACTCCAGCAGATACCAGTGCCCTCTGCTTCGCAGCCCGCCGCCCGGCTAATAGCAAAGAGTCCTTGCTTGAGATTTAAGGAGGTCGTCGCATTTTCTAGAAAATAAAACAAAAGGAGCCTAATTCAATTATGTCCTTTAAACCTACAGTTACTACGATGGTTCCCCTGTTCGAGTTGTAGGAGTGAAAAGGCCTGGATCAGAGGCAGGCATCCATGGTCACGGGGAAGTGTGGGTATTATAGTGGCATGAGAAGACCCCAAGTGAGACTGGGGTGCTGTACAAACATAGGGCGAGAGACACTCCCGGCCCCAAAGAGCAGGAAACAGAGGCCTTGAGTGACAACTCACCGGAGATCAGTGCAGAGCCAGTGTCACAACTGGAACCCAGAGCTCCTGACTCGCCGGCCAGGGCGGGATCCACTGGACCACCCAGCGCCCAGCTGACTCTTGTGAAAGATGCACTGAGAGTGCAGAGAGACAGAGGTGCAGGATGGGTACATTTCAGAGCCTTCAACCTCCAAAATATTTGAGAGCAGGCCAGAGTGGGGAGCTGGGGGAAGGGGGAACGAGAAATCACTCTAGAACCAGTGCTACTGGGAGAGCTACAATCAGCCACTTCCCTCTTGCTAAGTTGAGCCCCCAGCCTGTCCCGTCTCTTTTCAACTCTGTCACTTTGCTAAACTACTGCAGGCGAACGCTGCAACAGGAGACAAATGCAACAGAGAGAAAAGCCAGTGAAAGGCAAGTGACGAAGAAAGGAGGCTGGTAACATGTTTAAATACCCGGTACACAAGCCAACTTCTGCCTGCAGACAGGTCCAGCTGTGTCAGGTCAAGTGTGTGTTGTTTTTACTTGAAGGCAATTCCTTCCTGCCTCACAACACACACACAGGGCAGGACTCTTCTCCTTCAGCAGGGCCAGGGAGGGAGAGAGACACACACACGCACACACTCCCCGAGTACAGAGAGGATGAGAATGTTTCTACTGCAAAATAACTTCTTGTAGCAAAATAATATCTATTTTCCAGAGGAAAGTATCTCCAGTAGGTGAAACTTAATATGTGGGAAGAGGCAATACAAGGCTCCTTGCTTAAATGGAACAAGAGGCCCTAGATTTTGTTCTGACTCTCTGCAGAAGGGTAAATTTCACCCTCTAAGCACAAACTAACTTCAGGGTAACCAAGAGCTGCCTCCATTGATACATTTACACAATTCACTCCTTCCATTCCCCTTCACTAGTATCAACAATTTCACTGCATCAAGTCTGTGGCGTCCACTGTCCAGGGTGTCTGAGCAAAGGCTCTGGAAGAGGTGCAGGGGGGTTCATTTTAAAATAAGGATGTTGCGATTCAGCCAGAGCTGTTCCTTTTTTAAACATAAATAAATAAAATGGGAATGACCTTTTCCCGGTTCTCTGCTGGGCCACGGCCACGCGCAGTCTGTCTCCGCAGTTAGAGCAACGGGAGTAAGGTTTTCCACTTTTCTTCGGGATATTCCAGCAGCGGAAACATCGTATCCTGTACTTTTTGTACCTGGGGGGGGGGGGGGAAGGGGGAAATAAGTTGGTTCAGATAAATACATTTTTAGCCAAAAGTGGAATAATCCTTTTATTTCCCCCTTAGTCTTTTGAAATGTTCCCTTTGCTTAGAAGGGGGATATTTAGGGTGGAATTTATTTAAGAAAATGCCTTGGGCCAAGAATTTTGGAAATGGGGCCCAGATTCTCAAAGGTGTTTAGGTGCCTTGAAATCAAGAGGAGTTAGGCACCTTTGAGAATCTGGGCCTGGGTTCAGCTCCTAAATCCATATTTAGTGGCCTTGCCAGTCCCAAGTATTCAAAAACCACCAGGCAGCCGACCCTCAAAAACATCAAGGGGTTAGCTTCAAAACCAACCGAAAAAAGAATAAAATGTTGATTACTTTGTCATTGCTGTCTGGCTTCAGAGCCTTCATATGGTCAACTAGGGGCATGTTTTGAGCTCTGTGACCATTTTCAAAGTTTCAAGCTTTTTTCTGAACCATTTTTCAAAAATTAAAGCGTAGTGTTTTGGATAATCACATGACTCTGGGAGCTGGTGCTTCCAGAAAAACACCAATTATTGCAAGATTCCCAATAAGATCATGAGGGCCGGCAATATTGATTTAGGCCCTAAATAAGGGCCTGGTGTCGCTGCCATCTTATGCCAGGGACCTCCCCAGTTTTAACCCAAGCGGGAACTGCTGGGTGCTCAGAACGTGGCAACAAACTGCTCGTTTAGGTGCCTGAATACAGGAATCTAAAAGCCTCAATCCCGCAAACACTTACCCACATATTTCATTTTGCACAGACCTTGGCCTGGCCCTTTTGTGCACAGTTTCAGAAAGCAACATTGGCAGCATATATCACAGGTACCTGATGCCACAAGCGTTGCAGAGTGGGATGCCGTCCTCAGCAATCCTCCACAGGGGAGTTTTCCTCGTCTGGCAGGAAGCGCAACACTTAGCGCCTAAGGAAAAGACAAAGGTCAGACGTGGGCTGCGTGGTGGCTTTATTGCACAGCTTCGTGGAGTTTAAGCATCATGCACTGAGTGCAGGGGACGTACTGACATCCCTTCCAGCCCTACCCTTCTATGATTAGATCATCTACCCTGACCTCCTCCCTGCCACAGACCAGTACACTTCACCCCTTTATTTACCCCTATATTGAGCCCCATCACTTGTGTTTTGCTAAAACGCCTCCCCAGTCTGGATATAAAGACCTCCTGAGATGAAGACCCCACCACTTCCCTTGGTAGCTTTTTTCCCATGGTGAGTCACCGCTCACTGTTACAAATTTGTGCCTAATGTCTGATGTGCCTATGTCACAAAGCAACAGCTCTGGGTGTATTAAAACCACAATCCCCAGGTATTGGAAAACAAGGGAAAGGGCTTTGAGATCTATTTCCTTTCTGGTGGATAAATATGATTTCAGTTTGTGGTGTGGCGGAAGAAAAGAAAAAGAAAGTCACAATAGGTACAGTACTGTTGCAACTTTATTTTGTCATAGCTTTTCTTATCAACTGTCTCCAAAACTAACCCTAGAATTAAATAACACAATTACAAAGCCAGAGTCCAGCCATACAAGTACGTATTACGCTTACAACCATGAGTATTGCCTGTTGAAGTTAAGGGGACTGCTCACAGAAGTAAGTGCCACCCCTGGTAGTAAGTACATGTGAGAGGAAGCACGTCAATTATAAAAGCCCAGATCCTCAGTTGGCATAAATCAGCATCAGATGCCTCAGGAGGTCGTGGAAGCTCCTTCACTGAAGGTTTTCAAAAGGAGGCAGGAGCCACCTGTCTGGGATGGTTTAGACACAACAACTGCACCTTGGCAGGGGGTTAGAGTAGATGACCATCGTGGTCCCTTCTAACCCTGCGGTTCTGTAAGTCTCTGGCTGCTCCTTGGAGCTATGTCTGATTTCCACCAGCTAGGATCTGGCTAGAGAGAAATTGAAGTGGAGTATAGATCTTAAGCTGGTCTCCGCACAGGACTAAATTTCTCCCAGCAATAGGAGAATCGGGCCCCATATAGCTGCTCCCATCGGTTCAGAGTGTTACCATTTGATAGTAAAGGTTTTTTTGTTTCTGAAAAGCAACATACTCTGGACAGAGAGGGAGCCTTGATCCTCCTCAGAACTGCTGGCTCTGCAGAATTCTCTTGTTAAAGAGATGGGACTTGGATTTGGGTTACGGCTTCTTTTCCCGCACGTGGCACTGCAGACAGATTAGATGAGACAAATCTTACCAGGTTGTGACATTACTTTCAAACAAACAAAACCAAGAGCAAAAACCAGTGGAACAGCATTTAACAAATCTTCCTCCCAAACCAACAAACATTAGCTACCGCGGGTCAGATTTTTCATCCCTCTGCTTGTTGGGCAATCACGGATACCCAGCAAAGGGGGCACAAAATGCTCCCAGATCAGCCTGTTGTTTTTCACAGCCTCTCTCCACTGGTGCCAATGAGAGTACGAGGTGCAGGACAGAGGAGTTGCCATAGTGGATCTGACCTACGGGTCGCCTAGTCCGAGGACAGCACAACGGAGTCATAGATCATAAAACCTATGTTGTGATCACTGACCTCCTGTACAACGCAGGCCCTAGGACTTCCCAAATCACCAGCTCCTTCCGAGAAAGGGGCAAGAAACTCCAGAGCAGGCAGATGTGAGGTAATCTGCCCCCCATGTAGGTCTGATCCTAACCCCTAGTAGTTAGGGATTGGAGGTTTAATGTCCCTTCCAAAATGGTTATTAGCACTAGCGGTTAAAGCTCTGCAGATCCACATATTGTCCAATCCCTCTTGGAATCGCACTACATTCTAAGCCGCTGGGACCTCCCGTTGCAATACGGTCCATGGCCTACTTACATGTTGCATTTAAAAAAGGATTTCCCAGTCTCGGTTTGAATTTGCCAATTTCTGTTTTCCTTGAATGTGGCAACGGCAAATCAGGCCCCAACTGCCTAAGGACTGAGGGGGAGTTTTTCAAAAATACCTGAAGGGATTTAGGCACAAACGTCCCTTTCAAAAGTCAATGGAACGTGTGCTCCTAAAACAGTTAGGTGGCTAAAAAACACTTCCCCCTCGATACCGGCCCGAATGTGAATTTTCAACATTTCCATGTATCTCTCCAGGCGAAAGAAGGCTGAAAACAGAACCAAAGTGAAGTCTCTTTTCTTCTGCTCTGTAACTTTAAAAGGCGTTTGGTGGTTGCCATGTATTTTGACGGACACGTTAGCAAGTGCGAGAAGACCCGACTGCAGTACGAGATATTACTGGAAGAGACAGTAAACCTCACGCTCCAGGGCTTAAACCAACCTCTCTCTGATAGAGACTTCAAGTGGGGGTCAGATTATCCCCCAGCTGTTACTGCCGGGCTCTTACACCTGCCTTTGAAACAGCTGGGGCTGGCCACTGGCAGAGACTGGGTCCTGGACTAGATGGGTGTTGGGGCTGAGACGGTCTGCCAATGCCTCTGGTCCTAAGTCAGTTCCAACTGGCTGCAGTTTAAAGTGCCAGAGAACAAACGATCCCCTCCCCTCCCCCCCCAAATAAATAAACCTGATCATGATATGAGCGGAAAGCACTAGGGGAGAGACAATGGAGCCTGGGATGGGGAAATGACATAATTTGTGTTACAATAACACACTGTCAGATCATATCCTTAAGGACAAATCCCAGCTCAGTATCTCTGACCCCCACACCCTGCAGAAAGGGGATCCCTACACAGAGCTCTGTATCAGTTCCCCAGTATCCAAAGGCTTGGGGGGGGGGGAAGCTTGCAAGACAGATGGCAGGAGTTGGGGCTGGCGGTTCCTTTAGCACCTGGAGAAGACACAGACATGACAAACAATCATAAAGCAGGGAACCTGCCCTCTTTGGTGTGACTCTTTCCTATTGCTTTCAGCCCGTAGATAGCACAGTGACAGGCACGCCACAACACGTGTGATTGGAGAGAGCTCCATGGCGGGGTGTGTGCATGGGAAAGGATGGCTAAATAATGGGTGTGGGGGGGATAGAGAGAGAGAGAGAGAGAGAGTAGTAGGATAGATAGATAGTAGTAG